GGGCCCGCGCTAGGCCTCGCCCCCAGCGCTGGGCGTGACGGATTTCTGCATTTAACACACTGACGTTACTTTAAAATTATGAATATGTAAGTGCTTAAGCCTGATAAAAAAAGTTGAAAAGCCTTAAGGCTTGTGCCCAGTGCAGTGCAAGCACGTTAAGAGCACTCGCGGGGTTCCCTGTCGGTTCTCACCAGCGGGCGGGGAGGCTGTGCGCGGAGCCGCCCTGCGCGGAGACCCGCCGGCAGAGCGCGGGAGCAGGCGCGGCCGGGACGCGGTGCAGCGCTGTAACCCCCCTGACCCCTTCCCCGAGGCCTGCTGCTCGCGTTCCCGAGGTGGAGACGGCGTTAAAAATGGAAAACGCCGAGGGGATAGACAGAAAATGTGTATTAAACAGTGACATGGCCAAAACCCAAGGGCATGCCTTGCCTCTCGGAATCGTAGCCTAAAAATCAGTTTCCTGGCCATAGGGCCTTATTGCTACTGGTTTGACAGACACCCAGGAAACTTGTCACCTAACTTTGTTAACACCCTGAGGTATATTTTGGTGGTCCTTTGTAGGAGTTACTACAATTTCACATAGTTCAGGCAGATATACTGTCACGTTTACATCTACTCCTTTTAAACCTTTCAGAAACTCAGTGACAAGCATTCTTACTCTTTCAGGCGACGGAATGCAGAATTAGAAGCAAAAACAAAAAAACTGGTGCGTCAGGCTGAAGAAGTAATGGTGAGTAGGTTATGCAGACCGTTACATAATTTAGCCTTGATTCACAGGCACACAGGGTCATGTTTCAAAAGAAATTATTTAGACCATGACAACTTAAAGTATTTTGGTTTCAAATGCAATCTAAGCTTTTAATTTCTTTTTTCAAAATTGTAAATTTTCACTAAAAACACACCCAAAAATAGTTTTTATGTAATTTTATCAGGTAAGGTAGAAGTTCACAAGATGCATTTGTGCGGATATATACATAAAACTACATTAAAACTTGTTTAAGAAAAATATCTGTAAGTGGGTTTATGTTTTAAATACAAAAAAAAAAAAAGTATTTGAAAACCAGATAGTGTTACAGTGACATCCTAGTGCAATAGGATCTACATTGTTCATGCTGAAAGAAATACAAAGAACAAGCAACATAAATAGAAAATATGTAGTTATTAAGACAGAAACTTTCTTAAAGCAGAAAAAATTCTTGTTTATTGTCTTTTAATATTGGTGTGGCTGTGTACCAGATTGAGTCAAGTTGTATAAGAATTGGACAAACTTAAAAAAGGGGATGGGGGAGGTATGATTTATCCTCCAAACAGTTTGGAGAAGGTGTTCTGCATATTAGATATATTCATTGTAAATGCACTCAGATAAATAAGGCTTAAAAACCAAATTATTAAGTCTGGAAAGCTGTATTGTATTCACTTTTCCTTCTGTTGAAACTTCATTTTTATGTCCTGTGAAAACATATTCATCTCTTGAGCTGTGACAAGCTGAGGCCAACTGCTTGGCATTTGAACAGAAGCAGATGAAGCGGCCAAAATAGCATCTAGTTTCTTTCCTTTAAAAACCAGCAACAACAAACCCACTTTATTTTTTTCTTCTCTAAATACAGCAGAAGATCAAATATTCTTAGGACACTTAATATACCACATGGCACTGCCAGATTGCACAGATATACATTTAACAACAAAAGAAAAACAGTCTTAAGTTTAAAAATCAAAAAACCCCACCCCAAACAGGATAACTGCATTTTGTTCTGGATTATGCTTTCTAACTGTAACTTAGCAACATAGAAGCTATCTGAACATTCAGACCGAGTTTTTCCCTGAAGTACATACAATGTCCAGTTATTGTCATATTAGATGAATAAAGATTTATTTTCAAGGCTTATTGTGCAATATGGAAAACTGAAAAACTGTTCCACCTGCTGTGCATTTGCTGCTCCTGTATTTCAGAGGAAAAGGAGGGAGGGTAACAGCATCTTGGATGATGTGAACCTGGGCCAAAGTTTTACGGGCAAAAGGCAATTACATGTTGTGGAGCAGAAATAAATGTTGGGGATAGCAATGGCATTTCAGTTTTTAGCCATCTTTTCCTGTGTTTGAGAAGTTCTTTTCCACAGTAGACTATAGTTTCCATTCTTTTCCATAGCAGACTGTAGTTGTTGTGATCTGTGATTTATAGCTATTTAATTCCTCTTTAATGGATTATATCCCCCCCAAAATGAATTTTTTTTTTTTTTTTTTGTAAATAAAGAAACGCCAACAGGAGATACTGTCTAGACCAGTTTCGGTACCGAGTAAGTCATGTGAAGACGACAGACAGAGGTATGTACTTTACAACTGCTGCATCTAATTTGTGGGAAATCTTTCACCCTGATCCTGCGCACACTGACTTGCACCCTAGTCACGCTCCTGTTTTATGCTGCACGCTGGATTATTTTTTCCTGTTATTTGAAACGATAGTAAGTAAGTGTAGTTCCTTGTTATTTTAAGGAAGTCTTCATTTTGCTGGAACGTTCTATCTAGGATGCTAAATAGTGCTAACATCTGTAAAAAAGCAAGGCAAGGTAACAGGTTTATTTGCAGTACAGAACAGTAGACGCTCAGCAGTAGATGGTTTTTAACCAGTTCAGCTGACAAAGCAAAGAAATAGACACTGGTTTACATTTAACTTGGCCTAAATGTTCCCGGACAGAATAAAAAAAAACCAAAACCAACCAAACACACACACACAAAACCCTAAGACAGACAAACCTTGAGCTGCCACCTTCTGGAACTTGGGTATCGTTACACTTCTGAGGCCGACATGCCTTCGGCCTGTGCGAACACACAACTGTGGGGTTTGGCCTGCGCGTTCAAACCCGTTACCTCTGGATGCACAGGCTGTATTTACCGAGATGTTCAAGGGTTTGTGTATAGTTAGTACTGGAAGCGGGTGAATTTACGATAGACTAATACACAGGGTATCAAGCATCGCATCTGGTAGGTTCCTAAATTTATGTTATCACTGATCTGGATAACAAAGATACAGGGCCAGACTACAAGGTGCTTCAAATCTTAAGATGCAGCTGGGAAACCATTTTGAAATAGTATCTATAAAAATCTGCTAGAGATGATCAAATAATTACTTCTGTGCAGAGTAAAAGCAAAAACAAGAAATGAGGGGGTTTTATGGACATAAAAGGGTGTTTCAGTACACAAGGTGTGACAGCAAGTCTGTGATAGAAGCCTGGCTATACCAGCAAAAGTTTGCTACTATAGTTTATTCCTGAGCTATTTTAAAGCTGTATCTGTCAGTTGTAAGAGGGGGGAAAAAAGAAACTCCACGTGTTATCAGTATAATTATGCTTTGCAAACAAATTCTGGATCTTGCTTTAGTTTTATGTTCAGTTAGATGGATTTTGAACAGTAGACAGAAGATTGTCAAGAACTTCAAACTGGAGTTGAGTTACAGAGCTGTTTTATGAAGAACATGATTGAAGGATCCAGCCCCACAAAGGGAGTTAATAGCTTTGATGGTATACATCTGAAATAAATGGGAGTGCTGGAAGAATTAAAAAAAAATATCATTGGCAATTAGCTTGTCAGAGTAGCAGCTGATCTACACAAATTAAAACACCTTAAAACAACCACAGTCTGTGTTCTGGTAAATGTTAATGTGAGAGAAGAATTGAAATCCCAGCTGTACATAAAAAAATTAGAAATGTGTGCTAGGAATTAGGCAAACTGATTATCCATGAGTGAACATTGAGGCCATTCAATTAGATTACTTCCAAGTATTTAATATTTAATTAAAAAATTTTTTTCTTTCAAAACTGTTCAAGCAGATAGGCCATAAATCTAAAGGAAGCACTTGAGATATTTCTGAAATATCCATTTGAAAGTTCCACTTAAGAAGAATGAATACTAAAGCAACTGGAAAGAAGGGGAGAAATGGAAGCAAAGAAGTAGCAGGAGGAAAAAACATTAAGGAAAAAAAAAAAGAGGAAGCAGAGGAAAGAAAAAAAAAAAAAGGCAACAAAGATTTAAGTCACTCTCCAAGTCAGTATATATTTTAAAACAAGCGTTCTGGAGTTTTTATAGCATAATTTTTGCAGAGAAACTTGAATTAGGTGGAGACAAAGCAGCTGGAGTGACATGGCACTGCAGTCAGCTTTTGTTTACGCTTCCCCGGGGAGAGCTCTGCCAGGCCGGTGGCGCTGCAGCCCAGGGCGCATGGGCGAGCGCGCCAGGCTGGGGGAGGATTAGCGAGCACACAGGGCTTGCTCATGCACAGGCAGCTTGTGTTTACGGGCAGGGATGGAATTGTTAAACGCTAGCTTCTGTTTCAGCGTTGCCACGGTACTCGTAGCTGCTGCTCTGTATACCTTTTCAGGATTTACACCTTAATTTCACATACAAAACAACTACAGAATTTTATGATGAGGTTTTAAAAATGGGTGGTTGTGTATGGGGAGGAGGGAAGAAACCATTCAGATTAAACAAGTTTGAGGAATTTAATGAACAACGAGGGGTTTTATTTTGTTTGTTGTTTTTTAAAAAAGAAGGCCCTGAGACAACAGATACAGTAGGAACAAATGAGTCTATTGATGGAAAGAACATTATTGTTTTCTTGAGTATACATGGCTGTATTTTAGAATAACATGCAAGTGCGATTTCTGTGGCAGCAAATCCTCACCTCCTGCATGCTCCCAAAGCTAGCCAATAGGAAGGCAGCATGAGGAAAACTGGGTAAATAGACAAAAACTAATCACCCTATTCTTGAAGTCTGTTGCCAACCACACACAGATGATTTCTGCAGGTTTTTCTGGATTAATGAAATATGGAGCTTTGTGCAGATAATTCTTGCTGATGAATAGATGTCTGTAAAATTTTTTAAGGCGAGATCTAAATATTTGCTCAAATCAGCTGGGCAAGAAAATTGAGGTGACTTGATGTGCCCAAAATTTAAATTTTGTTCCAGATCTTTTGTAAGCCAGCATTTTAATTGAAATAAAAATTTTTAAAGGGTAGTAAAAAAGTAGCCTTTCAATGTAATAACACAGATTCACATAACTCATTCTGAAAGAAAAAAAAAATTATGTATATCACAAGAAACTTGACCTGAATAGCACACAGCATGCTAAAACTTTGTGCTTATTTCCAGCAGATTTTAAAAATAATCATTTCACCTGAAATTCAGTTACTGAGAAGCATGGTTTTCAGCCACATAAGCAGATAAGAAAGCTGCTTTTTTATTCCTGATTTTTTTTTTTAAACTGTAAAATGGATACAGTATTTGTAATATGTATTTCAGAGAAAACTCTATGAGGCTTATTCACTTGATAGTCCCTGTCAGTTGACTTGACAACAGTCAGTCTAAGCATACAATTGCATTCTGTCTGAGGATGTAGAAGACACTGGTTTATATCTTCATTTTCTTGATATTAATTCAGGGATTTGTATGTCAGGTAGGCATATTAACTACCGAGCTGTTGGTGATCTTTGGTAACAGATTGCCAGTCTCTCTGGTTGAAGCTGATAATAAGTACTCCCTGGTACAGGGAATCAGTTCAATAAAAACTAGTGGTGGCAGCAACTGCCTGAATTGCAAGAGACAAGATTTAGATTCTGGTACCTCAGTAAACTGTTGGATTAGACACCCTAGACTCGCCAGGTGATTTAGAGAGCAGATGAGGTAGAATGGAAAGACGGAGAACGAGACTGAATTTATGACTTAACTTGGCATGTGTTCCCACCTTATCTGTATTGTTTACTCTGGACATATAAAATGTTATTCTTCTCATTCCGATAGGGGAGTTGATTTTGTTCTACAAGTTTAGTGAATGTTTAATTTTTAATTCCTTTCTGCAGAGATCCACTCTGTCCTGAAGTTTCACCTCTTACACGCTCCCACACCAAGGTATCAAAGTCAAAACTATCCTGGCTAATTTATCTTCTAGTATAATTTCCACATACTACTTCTGGTTTTGAAGCTGTGCTAGACTGGGGACTCACATGGATGGGTGGTAAGCCAGAAGGGAATGATATTCAAAGCAGTGCTGTAGGGACAGTGTTACCAGGGTTCCTCAGTGCCACTGGTAGTTAATCAGATTTAATTTTTGTGTTCTAAATTTCCTCTTCTGTAAAGTATTGACAGAAGTGTTCATTATTTTGAATGTCAAATTAAGAATTCCAAGTGCAAAATATTAGAACAAAATTAATTTCTTCCTTTCTCCCCTTCTACACCCCCCCCCCAGTATAATACTAAAGGCAGTACTACTGTCTTTTAGATGTAATAATGAACAAGTAGTCAAAATAACTGAACACATGAAGGGAATTATAATGGAAAAAGGATGTTGAGATTAGGAACAAACTCAATAGTCTTTAATTAAAATGGCATTGAATCTTTTAGGAGGTAAGCTAAAGCTTCCAAAATACTACCTTCAATTATTTATCAAAATACGGTAGAAAAAACCCTAATTGTTGAAGAACATTTACATGGGTGAAAGTAACACAAATATTGTTAGATCTTCCTTCTGCAGGGAATTTATAAGATTAAAATAATACCTAAAAATAGCGCTTTTTTTTTTGGAAGGTATGATAAGCATTTTTCAAATATATGCACTCTATTGACAGTTTGGTAGTTAATATCTTGATAATAGCTGATATAAGCCTTGCTTATGCATGAATTTATTATGGGTATGTGTGCAAAAACTCCCACAAGCAAATAACTTGGGCACATGGACATAAAAGTTGCAAGATAAAGACAAATGCAGATAAAACTGAAAAATTGTGCTTTTGAAAGTTTGAGAAGCATAGTTTGAAAAGTATCCTTGAGTCTGAATATATGAAAAAGAAATTTTAAAAACCCACAAAAAAATAGAAAAAAAAAAATTTCTAACTAATTAAAAAAAAAAATCACTACTTTCTGACAAAATTTGTAGCTAGCAAACAAGAAGCAATGTGCTTCCATGACCATGGCTCACAACAGAAAAGGAAGGGAAAGAGAACAACTTCAAGGTATATTATGCACATATCTCTGTACTAAAATATTGTAGGTGCTGTTTTTGTCTATCAGATTATTTTTATTCATGTGTGCTGCTACATTTATATATATTTGTATAAATAAATGTGTTGAACTTTTGGTGCTCCCCAGTCAGCTCCACCGTGTAGTTGTTTACTTGCATAGAGCACCAAAAATTATTAGTGAACAGATGTGATTGATATTACAACAATGAAGCTGTTGCTTTCTGCACAGGCACTTCTCAGGGCTGACAGCTGATGTTAACTCCTTCAGTGAAAAGATGCCTAACAAGATACATGTGGGAAATACATCATCTGAGGCAGCCGGAGAGCGTACAAGTCAGTGGTGCAGACTGATTTGTGATCAGGCTTGTGACAGGAAACATGAGGCCCTTGAGGGTCTCCCCTATTTTGGTGAATTCTTGGGCTCACAGGACAAGAGCGAGTCAGTAATAGTACCACAACTTTGGGGAGTTTCAAGCTGAAAAGCTCCAGCCGTGTAGGTAGCAAATTCAAGCTTGTAAAAGTAAGAAATGAAAAAATGGAGATCTAAGGCAGGGGGCGGGGCTTAAAATCGTGGGAGCAAATTAAAACTGCCACAGGATATGGACAAATACAAAATAGGACACAGATTGTCTGCAAGGTGGCAGAACATGGAATTGACACAGGCTGAGGGTGTTTTTCAGGACTGAAAGTCTCTCGTAGAGCCTTTGAACCTCCCTTGGGCTGTTCAGAGGCGGCTGGCACCACGTCATGGCCTTTAGAAGGGGAGCTGTGCAGGTACAGGACCTGCAGGGTGAGCCCACAGCTGGGGGAGAAAGTAAGCAGCTAGGAAGAGTTTGGAGGCTGCATTGCAATGAGGATATATTGGAATAAGAATTTAGGAGCTTCAGATCCTGTGGGAACTAATGTCATCTTTTTATCAAAGCAAGCTGAGGAGACACCCGGTGCAGCAGGTGTGTCACACACCTTGTGTTTCAGTTCTGTGAAATCTTTGGTATGCAGCTTCTAGGATCAGTGGGGTTTCCTAGGCCAGGCAGAATGATACGGAAATTGTGGTAAGGCAGGAGTATAGCCGGAAAGGACAGAGTTTGAGAGGTTAACATGCGGAGGGAAAACCAGCAGAATTTAAGGCAGAGGATGGTAGCTAAAGCCAAGAAAACATTCCTCGGTTTCTTTCTTTTACTTCGACTTAGTTATGAAGTTGCTGGATGAGAAGACCATGCCAAAATATTCTCTGTAGAGAAAGGTGCTGTTTTTTCTGCCTCCTACATCATAATATGTAAAATCCTGTAGTTGTTTATGTGGAATTTGGTAAAAGTATGCTACATAAAGGAAATGGGAAATTGCCATCAATGTATCTTTCATATGAACACGAGCAATGAAGCTGCATTAGTGTACACAGAGTACATAGAACCCGGTATACTCTTAAAAATAGCAAATACACTAAATTTTGGATTTTTTTTTTTTGTTGTAAATTTAAAATCTAGAGTTTGCTTTTTTTTTTAGTTCAAAAATAAGAAACCTGGAAGTACAAAGTGGTGATGATGTTGCAGTACTGGAGGATTGCACAGATTTTTCTTTAGCAAAAACGATAAGCAAAATTGAAGAAAAACTAGAGAAAGGAAGCTTACCAGATTGTCTAGATGATGATATTATTCCAAGCGTTGGAAATGAAATTGGAGCAGGTACGTTTCCTCCCATGGTTAAGTACTTTTATTCTTGCTTCTTCCCTGTTAGAAATGGGTTCTTCTGGGGGGGGGAAAAAAAAAGGTTTCTGTAGAAATTATAGGGAAAGTTCTAAAGCTCTTAAAGGAAAAGTAAAAGAAGGTTTTTCTTCTTTATGTAGTCCTAGAGGAAGGTCAGGTCACATACAAATAATCATGGGAAAAAGTGAATCTTTATCTTCATTTCCACCTTTGCAGGAAGACACTTGGATGGCTACATGTGTTGGGTATGTGCATAACAGCTGATTCATTTCACTGGGGAGACAGAAATACATGACGCTAAGCTTGTATTTCCAAAAAGACAAGCTTCAGTCCTCCAGACAGATTCTGCCTGTAGAGGAAAAAGCCTTTCCCCAGATCAGTGCTGTGGATCTTAGTAAGTGGCTTAAATGAAGTAACATTTCAGCTACAGTGCTTGAATGAGAACCCTCCAGATACTTTCCCACTCCAAATGGTGTGTTTCTGTTTATCCTGGAAATAACTTAGGAAAGGGGATTGCAGCATTTGCCAGCGAAGCTAAAGGCATGATGCACATCTGTCTTTTGGCTCCGGTGTGCTAAGAGTGAGTTTATGTAGTTACTTACAATGCTAAAGCAAGCATGAAGGCAGAGATCCACTGCAGTAGTATAAAACACCAAAAACTTCTTTTAATCTAACAGCTGGATGTCAACAAGCATGCCAACACAGAAATAACTTGATTTCTAATCGTGTGTAATCCAGTGCACACCTTTTGTTAATAAGTGCCCCCAAACAAATCCTCAGATACCTTTCTTTACAGTTCTTGTTCCTGAACTAAAAAGAAATTTCTTTGCACTGCACTGGAAGCTTACACCAAATAAATTCAAGGTAACTAAGTAAGAGTTATTACTGGTGCTTAGCAATGAGGTCTTGTGGACCAAGGGCACGTATTTGAGTACTGAGAACTGTCTCTGTAACATTAATGATGAAATGAAAATACTCTGGATTGACTTTGCTGTCTAAATTTGATATGCCTCCTTGATGTGCTGAGTACGTTACTGAAGAGCGTGCAAGCAGCGTCAAACTCAGAGAACCCTTACAGTTTTCACAAAGAAGTAGATGCAGATACTAAATAGGCCTTGTTGTGGAGTGGGCCAGTCCCTTAGCTGGGCTCTCCTAGTAAGGGGGTCCTGAGGCTTATGCACCCTTGCAGGGCTTCATAGGCCAACGCGCTGGTAAAGTTCTAGAGCATCATCGTTTCCCTGAGCATCTTGCAGCACTGTTCCTGGATTTAGGGTCCATATCTTTATTTCACGAGCACAGGTTATGACAGGGCAGGCTTTTTCCTGCCAACACAGTAGCTTACACATTATTTTTTCAGGGGCTTTGAGGGTTATAACTCAACTCTGCAGTAACAAGCAATGGCAAAAACACACAGAAATGTAGAAGGCTGAAAATAAAACTCTATTTGTATCTAATGTACCCGCACACATACAAACAAAAAACCTTTACTGTCATACTTCACACTGATCTTCACATTACCTCAGGAATTCAAGGTGCCTCATCTTCCATGTAGGGTATCTGAGTTTCTCAAATACCCTTTTATTATTACCATTTTCTTAAACCGTTGGTTACTTTATAAGCTAAGGCCATCCTAATTAAGTGATATCCCCCCTTCTCATCAAGTGATTAAAATTAACCAATTAGGAAGCTAGTTGTTTAATTATCTTTACCTCTTGTGAGAATTCAGACTAACTTTGGATCGTAGCCACCTCCCAAGGCTGATCTGTTTCTAGCTGTGCTCTTGGATTTTCAACAAGTTTTACTACTAAGTGCCCTTAATGACACAAAGCTGTCTAAGAAGAGATTTGTGGACTAGTGACTGAGTAAGAGGCAACAAAATGGTAAAAAGAAACAACTGTTTTTTTGCAGGCAGTGGTATAGCCCTAGAGTGATCTGTCATGGACTTTACATTTTTCAATATACAGAAAAATAACCTGGAAAAAAGGAATGATAGATGGTAAAGAAATTTGTATGTGAAACAATGATTTTGTGATAGTTAAAGCTGACATTGAAGTGTTGTAGAAGAATCTCGTAGTACTGAGTGAGGTGATAGAACAGAGGTTTATATTTAGCATTAAAAAGTGCAAATTAATGCTGACAGAAAAAACAACTCCAGTTACACTTAACTCATGAGCTGGACTTTGTTTAGTTATTACTAATTAAGATGTCTCCAAAAGCATAAACTTCTTGCTTGTTCCCAGTGGAAAAGGCAAATTGATTGTTAGAACTCCTCCAGAAGATAACAAAAGACAAAATACTGTACTGTTATCATTATGCTGTTATCTAATGGATGCTACCTCATCTTGTGTATGACTCTCAGTTCTGCACACCCCATCCCAAATCCAGGATGCAGAACTAGGAAAGATACAGGAAAGAGTATATAGTAGCAATAAGAAGTGTGGAACAACTTCAGTTTGAATCTTCAGTTTGAAAACAAAACGTTTGAGAGCAGCATGAAAGATTCTGCAATGAAAACAGCAGTGGTAAAGGGAGAGCTGTCTTTGTAATGCAAACACAAGTAAATGCCACATTAAATTGGATTTAAAGCAAGCTATACAAAGTGTTGTTCTTTCACACAATGTATAATTAAATTAGCCAACTCGTTGCCACAGGATATTGTGAATGCCAAAGTACAATATGTTTTATGAAGAAAATCAAACAACGTAATAGAATTACCGTGAAAGAGTATTAAACTTGATGGCTTCAATATGGTCTCCATCTCAGGGTAGCCACTAGGTACCAGAAGCTAGCAAGGATAAACAGAGGAGAAAAGTCATTCTGTATCTTATTTTTTCATGGTGTTTTCCTAAATCCTACTTATTATTGGCCTCTGCAGAGTTACAACTTAAGATGCAATTGACAGTTGATAAGGGAAGGTGGGTGAAATGAAAATAATTCCTGTTACAGCAGTTGATCACATGTGCCCACCCATCCCTTCACGTCCAGTTCCAGATACACCTCCTCCACTTTATTCTTTCCCCCCGGTACCTGCTGTGGGGAATGTCTATCCCTGTGTTGCTCAGCTTGGTTCTCACACTGTTTCCATGCTTTGTGCCTGTGGCAGTTCAGGGGGAGTTCCTTGGGAATAAGCTGGGGAAGATGTGGGCAATAGAGAGTAAAAGAACATATTGTTCACACGGAGCTTTTTTTCATAATAGGAATACGTTTCTTAGCTGTCCAAGAGCAAGAAAGTACTTAATCTGGGAAAAAAAACCCATCTGATTACCTTGATTTAATTTTAAACTATTAATTGAATAATGTTACCAGTGTACTTAAAAAACGCATAGACTATCGTGTGGGAGGGGTACTTCCTAATAGGAGGGGTTTGCAATATACATTTAATTCCTTGTTGTGAGTAGTTTAAAAATACTTTGGGTCTAACTACAGACTTTGTAGCTACAGATTGACTGTAATGTAGACATACTCTACAACATATTTTTCTTGACTTCAGTCTCAAGGAATGCTGTAACGTGTAGCGTAGTCTGACAAAAGTTTCCAATAGGTGTCAATTTTGAGAATTTTAAGTCTTCTACATTTTAAAGGTGTCGAGTTCAGTCATTAAAATGAAAAATCTGTACAAAGATGTGCGTAAGAATGAGAAACTTGTAACATTTATTTAGAAATCTGAGGTTTTATTTGCCTATTTTGCTTTAATAATTATAAACAATGTAGTGTTTTTAAAAACAAGAAGATGGAAGTAAGTTTTTACATCAGTCTTGCTTCTTTTCTGCATTGAATAATGAGTACTTGTGGATATTAAATGTCACTTTTTATGTTCACAGAAGCTCAAATCCGGTTTCTTAAGGCACAGTTACGTGTTATGCAGGAAGAGCTGGATAGTGTAGTGTGTGAATGCAGGAAAAAGGTAAGAGCTGAGTTTTCTCATCTGTAGAATGTTCCCCTTTAACAAATAATCATAACAGAATTCCCTCAAGCTTTCCTTTTCAAGAGCTAAGGTTTTATTTATTTATTTATTTTTAATTTCCTAAAAATTTAAGAGTCAAGGATAGCCATTTCTGTATAAATGGCATCTTGGGCTAAAAGCTTGTGAAATATACTTCATGAAAAAAGCTGTGAGGCAGTGAAGGAGCACTGGGATTGAAGATGTGCCCTAGGGACGCTGTGGTGCTGCGGAGTGCCCCAGCCATCACTGCTGGGGAGGAGAGCATTACCAGGGCCCGAGGAGCAGGAGGAGGGTACAGCAGCAGGCAAATACAGAATTTGGTATACAGAGAGAAGATGAGCGGTGCCCAGGGCTCGGTGACGGAAGAAGAGGCATGTTCAGGGCAGAATGAGATCTAAAGCAGCTTTGAGAGATTCAGTCAGGCGCTTTGGGTGTCCTTGGTGGAACCAAGTGTGGAAACTGCTGACCTGTGATCCACTTTAAGTGGAATATTGTAATCAAAACAGAAATTAGGCTTTCTCCATTCTCATGATAACACTTGATGTGGAGGACTGTGTTTGGAATTACATATTTGGGCAAATCAGACTGAAGTTAAGGCATGGTGAAGCTACAGTGATATTTTACTGTCAGGGTGTACTCCAAGCGCGATTGATGATCTGCACTCTCTAGCAGTATGCTTTCAGGTGATGCTCAAACATCTCTTGAACTGTAAAACCTTAAATAGTGTGTGTCTGTCTGCCACAGGGATCACCTCTTTTTCATGCATTTGTAATCAAGCAAGTTTTTTGAACTAACTTCCCATTTTACTCAAATCAGATTATTCGTAGTTGTGGTCTTAACTTCAGAATGCTTTTCTCCACCTATTCCCCGGGCCCCAATGTGATGATGACATTCAGAACATATGGCAAAACCACCTATAAGTTTTCTCTCAAAATTTTAATTTAGAGTTGATATTAAATAAGTTTTTTGAGATGGGTTCCTGGAGAAAATCTTTAGAAGGAATTATATTTTAATATTTTACATCTATATACTTTATTCCATTTTTATAAATACAGGTGCTTCTGCATTTAAATACTTCTATGCTGTGATCAGAAGAAAGTTGTTACAGTAGATTTTAAAGACATTTTCATTTTCAAATCAAATATAATTTTCTCAGTAGCTATTGAACTTCATCATTCCATGCCAAAAATACTACAGAATTCAGTTCCTATAGCAGATGACAGAAGACAACCTGGTACCTATTCTTGTCCTGCTCCCATAGCACTCTGTATGTAAATGTATCACTTTGGGTACTAGTATTTCTGGTCTGAAAATAACTTTATTACATTCAGAAGGTCACCAAAATTTCATATTGGCAAAGCCTTGAGATAGATTCTGGGTTTTGTTCCAATTCACAGTCCAATTATTCCAAGGAAGCAGTAAATCTGTTTTAAATATAAAGTGGGAATTTCTGAGGGGCATGCAGTCACATGAAACTTAGGGCAAAGCACATATATTTCCCAGGTGAGAAGTATGTGTTCCAGGGGCTGAGAGGACAGGAGAGAAAGGCTCCTTCTCATAGAAACTCCACTTCTGTATGTGCCTTGATTTATTTTTCTTAAAGAAATGGAGGGCATAATGTATCTCTGAAATAACCTACATTAGTATTCACTTAGAATGTTTAAAAGGTTATAAAAGAAAAATGCCTTGAAATTCTAATGCTTAATGTGGGATGTAATTGCCAGTAGGTCATGAATCTAATACAGGATTCACTTGATGTTAAGAGAATCTTGAATTTGAATACTTGATGTATCCTGGATTATTAGCTTGCTTTTAAGTCAAAACCACATAATCTTCTAGAACATAATGGATTGATTTATCAGTAATTATATTCTCTTCTTTTTCCCAGAATTTTTCCTAATGTGTGCGTTTAGCTATTCTCACCAAAATGTCACAAAATTTACGTGCCACTGTTATTCATATTATTCTATAACATTTTGATAGTTCTCAAAACCTTTGAACTATGAGAAATTAAATGTTTTATGTACTGCTACAAGACAGTTCCAGGTAAAAGACTGCAGAAAATTACTATGAGAAAGTTGTTACTGTTGTTTGAAATATTGTCCTGGTAAATGGTTTTCTTTTGTTTTCTTTGTCTTAGTAGTTTTCTTTCTTAAAACATTTATGAAATCCATCATGAAGAATCTAAACATTTGAAAACAATATCATTTTTAAAAACCTTTATCTCCATATTTACAATATGTATATTTTTACTGCATTCTATTTAAAAAACATTACTATTGCATTATTCTGCTTCTGTGCAATAATTTGTGGGTTTTTTTTTAATTACTGTCAAATAGGATGATGAAAATCAGAATTTAAAGTCTAAGCTTAAAGATACTGAAGAAGAAAACACCAGACTGCAACGAACAATCCGTCTGCAACATTCTCAGACTGAAAAGTACAAAATGTTGTCACAAGAAGCAAACAGCAGAAGTGAAGGGTTACAACAAGAGGTCATTGCACTGGGAAAGGTATTGCAGATATTAGTCTCATTTGTCTCACAAAAGGGAAGACAACACATCAAATCACAACACATCAAATCACCCTCTGTACCTTAGTTTGATAGAATTGTATCCAGTGATCCCCTTAGCATTCAGTCTCTGATAATAGTTCTAGAAATTGTATTTTTTTAAATGGTCTAGTCACTTTTTAAAAGGAAGAAATAATATATTTTACTAATTGCTTTTGTTCTTCTACAGTCTGCTTCTACAGACTGCTTCTACAGTCATATATTTCTGTATTTTAACATTAAAATCTTGGGTAAAAGACCCACAAGAGACAAAGCAACCTTTTCAGAAACTGCTATCAAATTCACAGAGGAATATTGAAAAATACAGGGAAATTTTATTTTTCTGGTTTTAATTATAATTGTTAAAAATTACTTCAGTAATAATTTTATTGCAAACTGCAGAACCTGTTTAAAAAAACCACCTGCAGCTTACATTAGTATCTTATGCAGGTAGAGGAGAGGATGTGTCGTTCTTCTTGAAAATGAACTGTTTGAAAAACAGCCATTCCAGTTCGGATGAATCAGAATTAACCTGGCTCCTGCTGGAGGCCACATATGCAAAATTGTATATGTGCCTAGTGTAACAGATGGCCTGCATACACAGCTTTGTTTGTTTGGAACTTAATCTAAGAGCAGCATGTGTTTTTCTTTAATTACTCAGAGCTAGCGAGGTTGACTTCAAAATCATGTAATATGATTTATATTTATATTATCATGTAATATGATAGTATTGTGTAGTACATGTAGTGTAACGAGGAGAATGTTTCACTTAAAAATCTGGGGAAAACAGAGCACAACTCAGCCTAACAAAGTCTCATTATACTTCCATTAAATCATACTATGCATTTCTATAGGCATGCTTTCATCTTAAAGTTATGTAGTTCTGGCATTTTAAAACTAAAATGTTCTAAGTTTGTGTGTTCTTTTCATGCAGATACTTGGAGGTTTTGAGTTCTCTTAAATAAGTACCCTGATTGTTGATTCTTTCAGGAAAAATCCTTAGTAGTAGTTAGTACTCATACTACTCATCAGCTCACAGTAAATAGGGCTAAGAGATACAGAGTCTGTTCTCCTAAACCAAACCATCCTGGGCATAAGTTTGTTTAACCTGTGCTTAAAGCCTTCTGTGATGGCACTTTCCATAATTGCCTTAGTCGGTGCTGGTTCTTGTACACAGGCAATCACAGAAACCTTCTCCCAGTATTTGGGAGATGTCTGTTGCGATGGAAAGTTTATTCACTTCCTCTGTGCAGCAGCGACCATATCCAGTGTGGTCACTTTCCTCACTGGTCTTTGCTCTGGATTGACTGTCCTCAGTTGCTTCAGCTGTTCCTAATAGGTTCTGTTTTCTAAAATTTCTCCAGGTTACTGATCAGATATGATCATGACAAATAGTGGTAGTTCTTTAAAATACTAAGAAAGCATAAAAAAGGCAAGTACATGTAATAAATTATTTTACATTTTTTTTCTGATACAAAAAATTATCTGACTGCCAAAAACATGCATTTAAAAATAATTTTGCAGTAACTGCTTAAATATCCTACAGACTTAGCAAACTTTAATTCTTTAGGTATGAAGATTCAACGCTATAGAATTAACGTAGTTGTAGATTAATTCTAGACATACGCTTAAAAACAATTTCCTTTGAACGCGGGCCTGAATTTATACTGCTGCGCAGCTAAACTCGCAAGACTGATGCTTTCAGTCTAGAGAAAGTTCTCTGTACAGTTGAGATAGCACAAACGTAACCTCGGATTTTGGGGGGTTTTGTTGCTTCTGTTGGGATGCAGCAGAAATGGTAGATGTGTGATACATGCTGTCCCAAGCTTCCTTAGGTTATCAACAAGTTACACAAGTTCATTAGTCCCCCAGCTACGTTTTTTGTATGTGCCTAGGCAAAGATTCTCACCAGGTTTTCACAATTTACCTGATACGTAGTAATTAGTTTGTTATTTTTACATTTCGTTCTTTGGTGTTTGATCTCTGTGACCATTTTGGCTGGAACACCCACCTCAGGCAGCAGGTGAATTCTGATGCTCCCCAAAACTTCCATCCTCTTCTTTCCAGCATTCCTTGAGACTGAAGTCAAGAAAAATATGTTGTAGAGTATGTCTACATTACAGTCAATCTGTAGCTACAAAGTCTGTAGTTAGACCCAAAGTATTTTTAAACTACTCACAACAAGGAATTAAATGTATATTGCAAACCCCTCCTATTAGGAAG